GGTTGGGGTGAGCCATAAACATGAACTAAAACATGGAGAAAAAACACATGAAATCTTTGTTTTCTGTGAACTTCCAGCTGCTGCACAGATGCTGATGTGTGAGTACCTTTGACGTGGTTTATCCCGATCTGCAGGGCGACCTCAGGCTCGGGGCTCAGCAGGCGGAGTTTAACCGCTGAAAACAAGTCTCCTTCATTCACAGCTTCTTCTGCCAGCACCTTACACTCCTCCAGTGAAGGCAGGCCGCACTTTAAAGACAGCGAGCGACATCATCACGCGTTAATATCGACATGTACACGCCCACGTCCGCTGCAAACATGTTTCTGCTGTTGTCTATTAAATAAAGGCTTTAAGTATTTACCGATCACTGCAACGTTTACATTTTACCCAGAAGGAGTCGAGCGTACGCACCCTTTCATGCAGCTGGTTGATTTCAGCCGCAGTCCCCGGGTAAAACGCGCAGAGTTTAGCCAATAAGACGTGGTTGTCGGGAATCATTCGCAGCAGGTCAGCTGACAGCTCCCTAAGTGTAAACACAGAGAAGATGAGGGTCATGTTTTTATCATGCGCAGCTTTTATGGAGCCACAGAGTGAAGCAGCTGTGTGTGCTCGTGGCTGCGACTGCGTCCGTCTGTCCTGAGTCAGCCTGTAGCTGACAGCTGGGCGCCAGCACAGCTGGATATGTGACGTCACCCAGCGGTTTGTCCGTGAGGACAGACTCACTGTTGGAGCCTCGAGTGGACATTAGAGGAACTGCAGTTTCTCCTACGTGGACGTTTACTTTGTCCTGATTGGTTCGCACTGTGCAGGTAAGCGGCCTGCACACTGATTTGTTTAAGTCCGTACCCGCCCACCTTTAAGCACCAACAGCTGCACCTGTCAGGGAACAGTTCCCTGGCATTGCGAATTTCACGAAAGAGAGAGCCAATCAAAAGGATGTGTCAAAGCAAAGCCACGCCCTTAAATCCCCCGATCTGATCTGTTCTCAAAGTAAACAAAATCATGTGACCAGTTCAGTTAACTGAGCGTGCTCAATGGACGGCGGTCTTCGTGTGGGGGCAAAGCAGCACAAAAACCTACCATGTCGGATTGGTCATGTACTTCCTGGCAAGGAGCTGAAGGCAGTAAGCCGTGCTCTGATTGGCCCCCTCTCCGAGGACGATGCCCACACACGCGGCCAGCTCCAGCTCGTTACCTCGCATCAGACTGGACATGGCTAACTGGAACCAAAGCACACGTCCGCACACACTTCAGCCACGTTTTAAAGCGGAGCGCAAAGAAATGCCGAAGACGGCGACTGCGACACTCACCTCGACGTCGTCCACGGCCAGGTGGCAGCACGCCGCCAGCACAGAGCATCCGTCCTGGAAGTACCACTCAGCGAGGTCCTTACAAACCTTATGGAGGAGGCTGCAGAGAGAGGAGAGCCACAGAGGTCTGCAGGTGTGACTCACACAGGTGTTCAGTTAAACTAAGGAGGAGAAGCTGACCTGAGATCAGCGTGCACACAGAAGTGGTGCACGAACTCAGAGTGTCAGCATCTGTCTGCTCTGACCTGTGTGTGTGTGTGTGTGTGTGTGCGTGTGTGTGTGTGTGT